GGAGGTTGGAGGTGGAATGCTGGAGCCGAAGGGATGACGCATTGGAGGGGTGCAGGTAGCTTTGCCCCGAAACCCTGTGACGTCGTCGCGGTAGCTATAGGTAAGGAAAGGTTTGCGTTCGTCGATGGTGTTGGCTCTGGTGCTGATCCGCGGCTCCACCAGCACCAGCCGGACGTCCTACTTTGACTCCGCTCCCTTTGATCTGCCTTTCGGGTTGCCCTTCATGCCCGTGGGAGCACGCGCCAATAGTGTGTCACATGTTTCCGTAAGCTCCTGAAGTTGAGAATAGTTTTGTAATTCGTGCCATGTCTTCTAAGTTTCTGCCCAATCCCGCTTCAAGCTATTACCATCTACGGATATGGTGAAAGCGAGCTCCCCTCCCACATGCACTTGATAAGGATTATCGTCGGTAACTCTGATGGTGTGCGGAAGCTGCATCGTCTCCTTCAGCAGGTACTTCACGCCGAAGCAGAAGTTCCGGGCGGTTCGGTCCGTTGGTGCCCGATCTGGTGTAGCCCACACTTTTTTGCCACCGCATGTCAGCTTCAGGCTCCTGATGAGAGCAACTGCCGTGTCGCGGTCCAGCATCGAGTCGAATTCAGCAAACAAAATATGATTCGTGTCACCTTCTGTGTAGATGTTGCGTGGGATAGGGCCGTCGTTCGTCCCAAGTTTTCCCCGTATCCATGATGCGGCCGTGTTGTTCATGTCAAAATTCTCTAGGTGCCCGAATACAGCAGTGATCGCGCGTTTGCCGTGGACGTGGTAGGCGGTCGCTGATGCGGTAGTGTTGCCAGGTGGTCCTGGGAACCCTTTTCCCACGTAGGTTGGCCACCTCGCGCTCTAGCTCGTTCAGCTCTTCCCGGATCGTGGAAGTCATGCTGGGGGCTGCTTCCGATGTTGCTTGTTTAGCTTCAACGGCTGCCATACGCGAGGTGAGGTCGTCAATCGATGCTTGTAGTGGTTTCAAGCCTGCGTGCGATACTCCGTGCTTCTTGATCGCGGTAATGTCGGTCTTGATCGGCTCCAGCTGCTCTTGTAGCATGCGTGATAAAACACCTGCCGTCAAGGGCGTATTGTCCTCAGCTGCGAGACGTTGTTGAAATAAGGCCTGCTGTTGTTTGTTGCCATCGTCCGCACTTCCGACGCCACCTGCGGCAATTCCAGCTGTGCTGTCCAATCCGTCCATCTCGTGCAACGGGCTGTTGATCCTCTGTTGCTTTGCCTCTGGCCGCGTTGGTGTACTGAGAAGATGACGTTCCGGCATCCCTGCCCAGAGTGGTGGCACGAGAAAGCAACGAGATATTGTAGTAGCGAGTGTAACTGAACCGCGCGGAAGGATGATGTGGATTATGTGAAATACGGCAATGTAAGGGGGTACGGGAATGTAAGGGGGTACTTGACCTTGAGCCAAAACCTTGAGCCAAAACCTTGAGCTGGTGCCTCTAGCGGACTTCACCTGTGCTGTGGACAGCGGTGGTTCTTTGGCTTCGACTGGTGAGGTGGGGAGTTAGTTGCTTGTGTGCCCTACCCCCTTTGGGGGTTGGGCCCTCTAGTGACTTCCTCCCTGCCTTGCTGGTCTTAGCCTTTGCGATGCGACGTGTCAAATCAAATCAAACCCAAGACGGCCTAAGATAGCCTCAAGATGGCCTGAGACGGCCCAAGAAGCCCCCAAGAGGCCTCCAAGACGGCCCAAGAAGCCTTCAAGAGGTCCTCCAGGAGGGCCATGTTCCTTTGGTTGTTGAAGGATTGTGGCATTTGCTTCTTTTCGGCATTCCGACGGCTCAAGACGGCCCAAGTGGCCCCCAAGATCGCCCAAGAGGCCTCCAAGATGGCCCCATGACGGCCCAGAAGGCTCCCAAGACGGCCCCCAAACGGCGCAAAATGCCTTCAAGACGCCCAAGATGGCCTCTAAGAACCCTGATATGCCCCAGGAGGGCCCCACGACGACCCAGACAGGCCCCCAAGACGGCTTCCGACGGCGTCAGACAAGCCAGGAATGCCCTGAGACTGCCAAAGAGACCCCCAAAAAGCCCCCAAAGGCTTCCAAAAACCTTCCAAGAGGCCCCCAGGAAGTTCCCAGGAGGCCCCAAGAGTGCCCCAAGAGGCGCCCAAGACGCCGCCTCCTCCTCCTCCTCCTCGTCCTCGTCCTCCTCCTCCTGATCCTCTTCTGTCCTCATCCTCCCCCTCCTCCTCTTCTTGCTCCCTCATGCGTTCCCCGAAAACTTTCCAAACAGACTCGGGGAACAACTGGCCCGATAGCTTGGCCAAGCTCTGGCCCAGCTGTCAGCCACAGATGCGCTCAAAAAGGCAAGGGGCGGCGGTGATTCGCCGTAGGCGTCTTCGATCCGCCGCCCCCCGTTGGCTTGCCAGAAAGGTGCCAGGCGTGCTAAACCATATCCTCTTGGTGTTGGCTTTTGTTTCCAACAGAAATCTCCCCTGGGGCTTCGGCCAGTCCTGGCGGCCACCAGGAAGGCAGCACACGGGACCGCAAGCGACCACAATGGCACCACGAAGGACCCCAGCGTCTGGAAAAAATCACCCAAGACGGCTCAAGATGGCCTCCAAGACAGCCCAGATGGTCCAAGATGGCCTCCAAGTTCGCTCAAGATGGTCCAAGATGGCCTCCAAGACGGCCTAAGAGGGTTCAATATGCCTCCAAGTCCGCCCAAGAAGTCTCCACGACAGTCTAAGAGGGCCCAAGAGTCTCCCAAGATGCCTTCAGGACGGCCCAAGAGGCCTCCGAGAGGACCTCCAGGAAGGCCCGAAGATGCCAAAATCGTTGATTTCCTATGGTGTTTGAAGGATGTTGGCCTTCCGAAGGCCCGAGACGGCCCAAGAGCCACCAAAGATCGCCCCAAGAGCGCCCAGGAGGCCTCCACGATGGTCCCAGAACGACCCACGAGGCCCCCAAGACCGCCCCATGAGGGCCCAAAGACTGCCCAAGAGGCCTCCAAGACGCCCAGGATGGCCTCCAAGACGGCCCTGGGGCACCCCAAGAGGGGCCCCCAGTCGGCCCAGGGAGGCCCCAAGACAGCGTCCGACGGGCCAGGAGCCAACCAAGACAGTCCAAGATGGCTCTATGATAACCCAAGACGGCGCAGGCGGCCCCCAAGAGATATGAAAGACGGCCCAAGAGGCCTCCAAGAGGGCCCCCAGGAAGGCCAGAAGAGGCCCAAATCAGTGTTGCCCATCGGGTTTTTGAAGGACTTTGGCAGTTGCTTCTTTTCTGCCTGCCGACGGTCCGAGACGGCCCAAGAGCCCCGAAAGATCACCCGAAAGGCCTCCACGACGGCCCCAGAACGGCCTAAGAGGCCCCCTAGACGGCCTCAAGAAGGCCCTAAGACGGCCCAAGAAGCCTGCAAGACGCCCAGGGTGGCCCTGGAGCACCCCAAGAGGGCTCCACGTTTGCCCAGAGAAGCCCCCAAGACGGCTTCCGACGGCGTCAGACGGGCCAGGAATGCCCTGAGACGGCCTAAAAGGCCCCCGAGATTACCCCAAAGACCCTCAAGAGGCCCAAGGAGACCCCCTCCAACAGGCTCCCAGGAAGCTCCAACCTCCTCCTCGTCTTCCGGCCATCATCCCCCAAATGTTTCCCGAAGGGTTTCCACAACGGTTGGGGGAACACATGGTCCGATAGTTAGCTTGACAGAGCCCTTGCCACAACGCTCGGCCACAATGCCGTAGGCGTCTTCGATAGAGACTGCATATAGTTGTAAGGGTCCTACTACAGCTACTAGCACGGTTCCTGCTACGACTCATGTACCAACTCATGCCACGTCTTTTCATGCGGACTGCGCTCCATAACCTACTGCAGCTCCTACTATATCTCCGACCTGGCTTCTCCGTTGAACTCCGACCACACAATCATCTACGCATGCTGTGACGACCTCTACTACACACCCCTGTCGTGTCCTAAGAAACCATATATAAAAAAAAGATCCTACGATGCACAGCTCCCGTTAAGAGATCCGAGCACAGCTCCTAAGACAGCGCCTGATGTAGACCATGCTTCAACTCCTGCTGGACTGATTTCCAAGCAGCAACCACACGGTGTCCAAAAACACAACACTGTGCAAATCGCTCCCCCCGCCTCCTTCCTCGCCTCTCCCTTTCCTCTCCCCTCTGGCCTGCCTCTCCCCTCTTTGCGCTGCTGAGGGGGGGCGGAGGGGAGGGTGCGCGAGGCGCTGCGCTGCCCTGCGGGCCAAAGCAGGTGGCGTTGCGATGTACTCGAGGGAAGCCCCGGGGAGAGCGGGGGTCGGGCGGCGCGTCGGGCTACGGGGACGGGGCGGGGCGGCAATGGATGGTTGCGTCGACAGAAACAGCTGCTCCCGCTTGAGCTGTCCTCACAATCGCTGAGGTTTCCTCACAATGCCATCAAATACCTTGCCCTCGCATCAGGCGTCCTTGCAACCTACTCAGGAATTTCGATGGCGTGTGGAAATTCCACAAAGCCTTTGGGCTAAGGTTGTCTAGCGATAGCTTTCTGTCTTCCAAAACCCCCTTCCCTACGGGGAGGGGTACCCTCCCCCTCCCCACCCTCAGGTGCTTTGGGGCGGGCCGCGACGCATTAAGGAGTCTTCTTCGCACAAGATGGCGCCAAGAAGGCCCCCGACGCTCCAAGATGACCTTCAAGATGGCCCAAGCTAGCCGACGAGAATTGGAGATAGCTTCCGACATACCTCCAACAGGCCCGAGGAGGGCCACAAGACGGTTCCAAGTGCTCTCGAAGCCCCCTCAGGACCCCCGAGAGGCAAACATCCTTGAACCCCCTGAGAAAATTCAATGATGCTTTACGTCTCGCCTCGTCGCTTCCCATGCGCTTCTGAGGCCCAAAGATGGCCCAAGCGAGGCCCAGGAGGGGCCCACGAGTTCCCCAAGAGCGCCCAAGATCGCCCCAAGAGCGCCCAAAGAGCGTCCCAAAGGACGATGTTGATTGCCGCATCGCTCCCATTCCCATAGCAAATCGCATCGCTCCCATCGGAATCGTGAACGTGCGCGTCCTCGTACTTGCGCTGCCGACTCTGCGAGAGGGCGACGCGCGTCTTCGGCACCAGCACAAACCTGCTGGCGGCCACAGCGGTAGAGATGACCCCTTGCCCCTCCCCTTCATGCGTCCCCTCCTCTCCTCCTCAGTCCCCTCCTCCTCGCCCTGCCCCTCCTGCTCCCTCTTGTCCTTCTCCACCTTCTCTTCCCCTCCCTTCTCTCCGCGCTCCTCCGCAATTCTGCGCTCAAGGCCGATCGCTGGCCGTGCCTTCCGCGGGCTCGACTCGACACGCCCATACGATCCCGGGATCCAACATACAGTAGGAGCTAGACAACACGAAACCTTCCACAAGAAGCCCAACCCTGGAACCCCAGGCCGTCCATTGGGTTTTGGTGTGGGAGCGTCACGCTTTCCATAGCGAAACCGTCGACACCCAAGGAATTCAGGGCACCCTGTAGGCAAACGGGGTGTTTTTTGGCATGGTGTTCCACTGTAGCCATGTCTATGGTCTGCCAAACCAGGAATTGGAGGGAAGGACATGAGGAGCAGGGAAGGATCACATAATGCCACACGCTATTGGGGCCAAACTTTTGGTCGGGCGCAGACACCCGCCACCGCAGCACAACAGATGTGAGCGGACATTCGAACGTCTGGCCAGGCGTGTGGTAACCATGCCCTCTGGCTGTCCTGGACCAAACAAGGTAGGAAGAAAAGGGAGAGGTGAGGAAGAAGGAGGGGAGCACGGGAGGGGAGGAGAGGATGCGATTCCACATTCAAATCAAAGCGGGTCTATTGAACGCGTGCTCTCCTGCCTGCCTGGCAAAGAAGGCACACGCATCAAACATGAGGGGGGGAAGAGGGGAGGTATGAGGAACAGCAGGAGGATCGCCCATTATCGTCCTCTTTCCTCCTAGTTCATATCCTCCTCCTCCATCTCGACCTCCTTCTCACCTTCTTCTCCTGCTTGTCACGCCGCCTCATCCGCACCGCACTCCATAATATCGCCATCTTCCTCATCATCTGCGTCGTACTCCTCACTATCGACCTCCCAATCCTTCCTCTGGCTCATGCGCCCGATCCATGTCCCTGTACTCGTCAGCATACGGCAACTATTAACGACTCGTCCTCTGGCCCGCGTGGCCAATTCTCATCTTCCTCGACGTCCACCTCGTCGCCATTGATCTCCTCCCTCGTCTTGCCTTTTCCTCATCCCGCCTTTGCTCATCCCAACCCGCATGATGGCATGCCTCCCTGAATACATCCGCCTGGTTCCACTCGACCTGCGCTACCCCACCGTCCTGTTACCTCTACCTCGTCCTGACATGTCCATGCTCTGCATCTCCGTCCCTGGATTCCCCTCTCGAGACATAAGAGAAACAAGAACCATACCCCGAAGAAGGCCACCGTCCAGACCATGACGATGACCACAGCACCTCGTCCAGCCTGCGAGCCCTCCAAGGCATCCGCGCCGTCGGCCAGCGGAACCGAGGGGCTTGGCTCCTCCTGCCGCGAGGGTTCGACGACCTCGGCCTCCGCCCCTGCCGTGGACTTGACCTCCGTCTCCTGCTTGGCCCGGGCCTCGGCCTCTGCCCTTGCCTTGGCCTCCACATCCTGCTCGACCTTGTCCTTGGCTTCTGCCTCGGCCTTGGCTTCTGCCTCGGCCTTGGCCTTGGCCTCGGCCTCTTGCTTGGCCTTGGCCTCGGCTTCTGCCTCAGCCTTGGCCTTGGCCTCGGCCTCTTGCCTGGCCTTGGCCTCGGCTTCTGCCTCTGCCTTTGCGGCGGCCACTTCCTTGGCCTTGGCCTCCGCCTCGGCCTCCGCCTCCTGCTTGGGCGGCGGCGGCGCAGGAGTGACCTCGGGCGTCAGCCTCACGCACTCGTGGTGACTGGTCGTGAACCCGAACGCCCTCCTGCAGACTTCTGGGTCGTTGGCGAAGTTCCTCTTGCAACAGGCGTTGCCCTTCCCGCACCACTCCGCGAGGCCCGAGGGCTGATCGTTGTCCGCCCTGCCCCAACAATCCTCGCTGGAATGCAACACCTTCAACTCCACGCACTCGTGGTGGCTTGTCCGGAACGCCAGCGCTCGCCCGCACTCCTCAGGATCTGGCCGGTGTCCTTTTCTGCAGCAAGCGTTGCCCGTCCCGCAGAAGTCACAATAGCCAGTCTTGCCAGGCGACCCACACTTGTTCCAGCAATCGGCGCCCTCGTTCCGAATCGTGCTGGCCTTGGCAAGGGTAGCACGCCATTGCGAGGCTTGTGACTGATCGCCCCATAAGTGGACGTTTGTGCCAGCAACGGCAGCGCCGCCCTTGACATTCAAGAACAACCCTGCTGCATTCGCGCCCTCGGCCAAATATATTCCATCGGTCTCCAAGATTCGCCACTGCGAACTGTGAGCGTCAGGGGCAGACCCCAGCTGGACGTTTGCGCCATTGTTGGTCTGCCCTCCAGCCACGCTCAAGAGCATACCGACCGACAGCGCACTCTCAAGTGTGAAAATGCCATTGGAAATCTCCGCGATGCGCCACTGAGACTCGGGCGCATCGGCATCGGGCCAGACCTGAACGTTTGCACCATCCAAGGTCTGAACTTGGCCAGACTGTCCTGCTGCAACGCTCAAAGCCGCCACCTTGCAGCAAACACTGATTGATTGGACCTCGAGTCCCCTCGAGTCGCCAATATTGGAAAGTGTAACTCAAAGAGTGAGGGGGCTGAACGGTCTTACACCGCCTCTCGGTTCGAGGTTGAAATGTGATTCCGCGGGGCGGATTCTGCTTGTTTGTTAGTTGTTGTCGTCCTCGCCCGCGACCCGCCCGTGACCCATCCGCGACCCACTCGCGACCCGCCCGCAACCCATCCGCGACCAAATGCTTTGATGAAGCAAAGTCGGCGCATGCGGCGGGCTCGCTGTGTAACCCTATCAACCCTCTGGGCGTGACTGGTCTAGGAAGTCCGTGCTGTTGCCCCCCTTTCTTACCCTTCGGGGAGGGGTTTCTCCCTCCCTCCTCCTCACCCCTCCCCCTGGGTCTGAAAACCTCCCCCCGCGAGGTGTCAGAGGACCTTCTTTTGCTCCAGATGACTCCAAGGGGGGTGCCAAAGAGCCCAAGATGGCCTACAAGACCGCTCAAGATGGTTCTAGATGGCTTCCAGCTTGCCTCCAATAGACCTCAAGACAGCGCCAGGACGGCCCAACGCGCCCTCCGAGCCTCCCAAGTAGCCTATGAGGCCAAAATCCTTCAACACCGTTGTTTTGTCAGTGTGTGTAGCCGTGTCGCCTTTTTGCTTCCGATGGGCTCTTGGAGCCTCGAGATGGCTCCAAGATGGCCAAACACGGCCCCCAAAGGGGCCCAGAATGGCCCCAAGACGGCCCCAAGAGCGCGCCAGGAGTGCCCACAGGAGGGTAGGTTTCGGGCCCCCATTGGGGGGGGATTATCGACGGCCTCCAAGATGTCCCCCAAAGAATAACCCACAGGGCCTCCACGAGGGCTCCAAGAGGGCCCCAAGAGAGCACCAAGAGGGCCTAAGAGGCCTCCACGATGGCCCCAAGAGGGCCCTATGATGGCGCCAAAAGACTGCTAGGGCGCTCCCAGAGTGAAAGATCGCAAAGGTCTTGGTATTGACTCCTCGCAGCGTCGTCGTCGTCGTCGTCGTCGTCGTCGTCGTCGTCGTCGTCGTCGTCGTCGTCTGGTGTCTGCTTTTGGATGGGCTGGTGGGGATGCGCGCAGCTTCAAGATTTTTCTGAGAGAAAGCAACAACAGGCAAGAAACGGCGCCTGCGGCGGGCTTCGTAATATTTCCCTCGAACCCCTCACAATGCAGACAACTCACCGCCTGGTCTCCTCACTCTTATCCGCAACTGCGGGCAACTTGCCCTAAGATGGTCCAGGGGCCGGTGCAGGAGCTCTTGGGGGCCTCTTGGGCTCTGGGAAAGGCCCGAGAGGCAAGATCGTAGACAATATTTCCTTGTGCGCACGATTCGAACATTAAATCCTTTTTGATCTTGAGAGCGTCCGAGACGGTTCCCGAGTCCCCCCCCCCAAAGATCGCTTCAGGACGGCCATCCGAGGGGGGGAACCGAACTGACATTTGAAGGCCTCCACCCACAGATGCCCCATTGAGACCGCTAGCAGGCCCCCAAGAGGTCACCAGAAAACCAAAGAGGCCACAAGGATGCCCCCAAGATGCCCCCAAGAGACTGCCTCCAAATAGACCCCGAGACGCCCCTGGTCCACGACCCATGCAGCCATGCACGGTTGCGGGATGGGCCGAATGCCTCATTGGATACATCCCCGCGGCACTCACGCTCTCGAACACGTACCTGACGCCAGGGTCGAACTCGGGTACCTCAACGGGCGCACCAACTCAATCGCTCTAGGGGATGGAAGAGGGCGACGATGAACTGCAACATCTCACACTGCGACCGAGCCTCACTTAAAACCCCCTCGAAGAATACACATTACGGATACAGCGACATAGCACCGGCTAGTCTGCAGCCCTGATTGTCTAGTGAACCTGCATTGATGTGTCGGCCAGAAGAAATCCAACTCTGCTACGGTTGCAAACCACATGGCTTTGACGACACATGATCATCCGAGACAACTGCATTACCGAAATCTATATGCATCGACGCGGGAACAAGCAACCCTTCATCAACCTGGCGCGACGCATTGAATCTCCTACTCGACCCAATGCTCGACTCCCTCGCCTCCCTTGCTGTCCCCCTGGCCGCTTCCCCCCGCGGGTGCAGCGAAACAAAAACGAATGCAAATGTTTGACACATACGGTGTTCTTTTCACGGGTGCCTTCCTGGCCATCACGCAGCTCCTGCTGCTGCAGATATGGTCCCAACATCATCGCGCGCGAGGAGGAGGAGGAGGAGGAGGAGGAGGAGGAGGAGAAGGAGGAGGAGGAGGAGGAGGAGGAGGAGGAGGAGGAGGAGGAGGAGGAGGACGACGAGGGTACTGAGGGTACTGACTACGCGGGCGCCACATGGCGCCCCTGACCGCACGGCCACGAATTAATCCTCGTCGATTAATTCAGGCCCCTCAGGAGCTCTCTGACGGGACCTCTCCCACCGAACAAGCTCATCAGGCGAGGAAAACCCATGCAACTTGGCGACGCTGGTGGCGTCAAGGCAGGGCAGGTGTAGCAGTCGGCACGCCTGCTTCGCCTCCCCAGAGGCGCGGGGCATCACGCTCCCCGCCGACGTCTGGGCCTCGACCGACCCTTCAACACCTACACCACCGCTGTTCGGACCAGCAGCAGCAGGATCAGGGGCAGGCTCGAGAAGAGGCCCCCAAACAGCACGCATCTGAAGGGTCGGCCCATGGGCCGCCCCTACACGAGCATTGCCTAGGGTGTGCCCTTGGAACAGACCTCGTCGGAGCTTGGACCTCTGGGTCTTGAGCCCTGGATGGCCCGCTCCCTTGCGCTCTCCCTGCAGCCCCCGAACGCTAGAATGCGCTGAGGCGCCGCAGATCTTACAACATAAAATTGGCGACAGCTCCTGGCCTTGATATGATGCGACGCTGGCCGGCACAACACTGCGCCCTCTAAAAACCCAAAGAACACCTGTCGCAGCAACAAAGCCAGCGTCGACACCACGGGGGTCTTCCGTACCTTCAATGGAGAAGGGGAGGCTCGGAGCAGAGGAAGGACCAGTCTCAACCCCCTCGGCCAAGGACCAGTCTCCAAACGGTGCTCTACCTTCCTCCAGGCAGGCACGACTTATATCCTGAAGCAGGTCTTCATCTAACACGATGTCCCCCGTCCCAGAAAGCGCAACAGAATCTGGCTGCTCTAGCTCTCCGAAAATTTCCTGGCATCTACTTTGCCAGCGCGCAATATCCGAGGCAATCCTTTCACACCCCGAGACGAAGTCTAGATGGTCTCGAGGCGCATTCCAAAGCTTCGCTCCCGCCTTGGCCCACATGTCGGCCATAGCGCTGCCCTTGATGAGCCACGCGTCATGATCGGACCTAGCGCCCCTCAAGCTCCTGTGAGCAGCTACATTGACAATAGAAGCCTTTTTTTACCTAGATCAGACCACCAGGTCCTCCACATGTGCGCTCGTGCATTCGAACTGGCCAAAGCAACGCTCGAATCTGCAGCACAACCGAATGCACCTGCACAACCCGCATGCACAACTAAGGGATCCTCTACAGACCATTCTGTAAACTGAGAGAGCATATAGAAGGCCAAGTCCTCTCCATCGCGCGCGGACTGCGCGGGCGCCTGATGGAGCGGCACAGCGCCGTGCATGGCTCCGACGAGCTCTCCTGCACGATTAACCTGAATCACAGCCCAACCTGCCCGACTCAGTCCCTGAAGATGACTGTGGAAAGCCGAACCGTCGACAAACACGTGGCCAGAAAAAAACTCCAACCAGGAAACACCCCACAAACCGCACTTGGTTCTCTTCAGGGACTTACGTCGCGGGGAGGCGAAAGGAAGGCGAAGGGAAAAGACAACGAGCCACCATCTCAGCAGGTTCCTCCCCGAGACTTCGCACATACATGGCTGCTTGCATAACATGTGTCGGGCGTTCCTCGCGTCGAGGAACAGCGCTCCGAGGGCAATCGTAGAATCTATGATGAAGCGTGCCTCGCATGCCACAGTGCACACAACAACCGTTCACCACCTTACCGTGCGCGTGCAGGCGAGCCTGGGGCCAGTGTGACCCTCCTGCTAGACTCCTGATGGCAGCTGCTCGGTGCGAACTCCAGACTTCCGAATAGTCCTGATCGAGCAGCTTACCGACAGGGCCCCAATGCAACGGGTGGACCCAGGGCGCCTTCAAACGTTTCAAAGCATTGACGTCAGACGCCTGGAGGGCCAGGGGCCGAACCACATCCACGAAAAAGCCAAGCGAAAAATCCGGGATCCTGAAGTCCCCGAAGCGAGGATGCCTCATAATTTCTACAGCTGGCAACTGACACCCAATCCTGGCGAGCGAAAGGACAGCAGCCTGGGCTGGATCTACTACCTGGGCCCATGGCCGATCCCTATAGGAGCGGCTGCGCTTCCTCGAGACAAGCCCGAAGCGGACCAATGCCTGGCATACAGGAATGAACACTCAACGCCCAATGCTTGACCACATCACAGACATGCACGATCCAGGGGTCCCTGGTGGACCCTCGCTGCGTCGACCTCAAACGGAGCGCAACAGAGGTTCCTGGAGGGACTCTCCCTTCTGCACGCAGCGAAGCAAGTCTCAAGGTGGCGAGCTTAGCGTCAGCTATGCCAGTGACCGACGCCCCCCACATCGCCGTCGCCGTAGGAGACCCCCTCATAATAGTGCTGGCAATAGCTCCTGCCTGCCTGAGCGGAAAAAACACGCTTTGATACAGGTGACGCTTTGGCCAAACGTTTGTTCTGCTCTTGAACACTCATCGACGCGCCATCGGTGGCGTCCGCACCTAAACACCTGCTGCTACCAAGCTTCTGCTCATGGCCTAGGCCCCAGCACTCGTTGAGCTCCGAACCCACCTCCGCTGAACTGGTCATGTAGCCTGTCTTATCCCAATTTACCTTGAGTTGCCTATGCTGCATGGACTCGGCTAATTCAGACATAGCTTGAGGAAGCTGATCTAGCACGTTCTGCCTGCCTCCAATCGCCTGAAGCAGGAAGTCGTCTACTAGGTTTTGAAACCTCACCATAGGATACTTCGCCTTGAGAGTGACAACCACTGTATGCACTAGAAGCTTGGCCAACGCTAAGGCACAACTGCAGCCTGCCGCCACCGTGCCATTGGCTCGGACCTGGTCCGAGATGAAAGACTTCCACCTAGCTCGCCTGGGCAATCTGCACCCTGCACAGAGACACTTGAGGAGCCTGGCTGGGAGACCCGCGGCAAGAGCCTCCCTTAAAACATCTTCATGTGAAATATGCTCGTAATACTTCGACACATCAAGAAACCCGCTAGCTGCCGAGAAGCCCTTGAGTCTGGCGAAACGCTGAATGATATTGTGCACATGCCCTGCTCTGTCGCAGGTCTGCCCTGAAACTCGCCAGAAGGTGTCACTATTGAGCGGCAATTCCAAATTCCTGGCCACAGGCTGCCTAAGCCTAGACCAAATACGCCCCCAGATGGAAGCCAACGCTATGGGTCTCACTCCCGATGCTGACACGGGTTTGCCCAGGAAAAAATCAGGAGCGTCCAGACAGAGCTCAAGACCCTCAGGATCCGACTCCCATTTCGTAAGGATGTCCAGGAACGCCTGCTTGCACGAATCTGGCAGCCAAAGAACCTGCCTCGGGTGGAGGCGGCCCCGCCCCAGCCCGCAGGCCCCCGAGTAGAAAGACAGCGCAAAGTTCAGCTGCGAGATGGCGGCCCTAGGCAGCCCAACCCAAGGGTCCAGACCCCCAGAGGTCAGATACCCCAGGTCGGAAACAGAACCACAGGAAGCCTCCGAGGGCCTCACGGGACGGGCCCCGGGACTCCAGGATCCCGGGTGGGATTCACTCTCTCTCTCTCTCTCTCTCTCTCTCTCTCTCTCTCTCTCTCTCTCTCTCTCTCTCTCTCTCTCTCTCTCTCTCTCTCTCTCTCTCTCTCTCTCTTAGGAGCATTCCAGAGCGGCCCCCGCTGCTCTAGAACCCTGGCCACCGCCTTTTGCCCTGAGACAGGCAACGGCGGCGCTAGCTCCGCGGCCCCCGAAAAAATCTGCGCGTCAGGCAGAGGCCCCCGAACATGGGCGCAAGCAGCCCTCCCCCTTTGATTCTTGACGGCCTCCTTGGCCCAAGCCCTCCAGGCTTTGGCGCCAGCCGCACTGGCCTTCGCTTGGAGGAGAGAGAGGTGACCCCTCAGCCCCAGGAGGAAGGGGAGAGCCTCATCCCCCCCATCGGAGAGCAGCCTCACCAGTGCACTCCTGGGCGCGTGCTGCCACCTTCCCAGCGGCCCCTCGGTGGGCCACGGCGGGATGCCAATTCGAGAGACAGTGTGCTCTTGCCGCTGCTGCGCCGCAAGGTGGGAATATTTCTTGGCGCGGGACTCAGAACCTATGGCATGCAGCCTCATGCAAGCCGAGTAGAATGATGTCCACTTCCTGCCCTCGACCGCGGTGTTCTGCCGCAGCTCGCTCTTCCAGGCGTGGTCAAGCTCCACGTGCTGAACTCCAAGCCCGTCTGATCTGCCAGTGTATGATTGCCCGCGCCATCCTTGAATATCGTGAAAATCCAGAAGATAGGCTTCAACATGTCGAAACCATACTTGACGGGCTTGCTGACGGTCAGGCGGGTATTCCGATCCAATCTGCCACGGCCACTAACCCTCTCGAGCTTCAGGAGG